GACCATGAGCTAATTCGGTTTAAACTAAATGGAAGGATTAACAGAAATGATACTGTAACTAAGGTTTACAATTTCAAAAAGGCCAACTTTAATAAATTAAGGCAACTACTTAGGGAAGTGGATTGGGCTAACATACTTAGGGATCTAAAGGCAGATGACGCCTGGGATTATTTCAAGCAGAAGTTGCATGAGATGTCTGAGGCCTGTATCCCGAGAAAGGGAAAACAATTAGTGGGCAGGAGATTTAGACCTAGCTGGATGAGCGGGAGTCTCAAAGGGGCGATTAAGAAAAAACAGAAAGCGTACAGAGAATGGAAGAAGGGAGGGATCAGCAAGGAAACCTACCTTAGTGAGTTTAGAGCATGTAGGGATGCGGTGAGAAAGGCCAAAAGCCGTGTAGAGTTGGACCTGGCAAGGGGAATTAAATCCAATAGTAAGAGGTTTTATAGCCATATAAATAGGAAGAAAACAAAGAAAGAGGAAGTGGGACCGCTGAAGAATGTGGATGGAGTGGAAATTAAGAATAATCTAGGCATGGCACAATATCTAAATGAATATTTTGCTTCGGTTTTTAATAAGGCTAATGAAGGGTCTAGGAATAGAAGGAGTAGGACAGAGGGGAATAGAGGAGGGGGGATAGACATTACAGTATCAGAGGTGGAAGCCAAACTTGACCAGCTAAACAGGACTAAATCGGGCGGACCGGATGATCTTCATCCTAGAATATTGAAGGAACTGGCGCAAGAAATTGCGAGCCCCCTGGCGACAATTTTTAATGAATCTGTAAACTCGGGGGTGGTACCGTTGGACTGGAGAATAGCTAATGTGGTTCCTATTTTCAAGAAGGGGAAAAAAAGTGACCCGGGTAACTACAGGCCTGTTAGTTTAACTTCTGTAGTATGTAAGATCTTGGAAAAAATCTTGAAGGAGAAAGTAGTTAAGGACCTTGAGGTGAATGGCAATTGGGACAAATTACAACATGGGTTTACGAAAGGCAGGTCGTGCCAAACCAACCTGATCTCCTTCTTTGAGAAAGTAACAGACCTTCTAGATAAAGGAAATGCGGTGGATCTAATATACCTCGATTTTAGTAAAGCATTTGATACAGTTCCGCATGAGGAATTATTGGATAAATTGGATAAGATGGGGATCGATAGGAAAATCCAGAGATGGATAAGGAACTGGTTAAAGGGGAGACTGCAGCGGGTAGTACTGAAAGGTGAACTGTCAGATTGGAGGGAGGTCACCAGTGGGGTTCCTCAAGGTTCGGTTCTGGGTCCGATTTTATTTAATCTATTCATTACTGACCTCGGAACCAAATGTAGGAGTGGGCTGATAAAGTTTGCGGATGACACAAAGTTGGGAGGCATTGCCAACTCGGAGAAGGATCGGGATATTCTGCAGGGAGACTTGGATGACCTTGTAAATTGGAGTAATAGTAATAGGATGAGATTTAATAGTGAGAAGTGTAAGGTGATGCATTTAGGGATGACTAATAAGAATTTCAGTTATAAGCTAGGAACGCATAGGTTAGAAGTGACTGAGGAGGAGAAGGACCTCGGAGTCCTGGTTGATCGCAGGATGACTATGAGTCGGCAATGCGACGTGGCTGTGAAAAAAGCTAATGCGATCTTGGGATGCATAAGGCGAGGTATTTCTAGTAGGGACAGGGAGGTGCTGCTTCCGTTATACAAGGCGCTGGTGAGACCTCACTTGGAGTACTGTGTGCAGTTCTGGTCTCCTATGTTTAAAAGGGATGAACTGAAACTGGAACGGGTACAGAGAAGGGCAACTAGGATGATCCGGGGAATGGAAAACCTTTCCTATGAAAGGAGACTCGAGGAGCTTGGTTTGTTTAGCCTAACCAAAAGAAGGCTGAGGGGGGATATGATTGCTCTCTTTGATATATTTAAAGGGATAAATACCAGGGTGGGAGAGGAATTATTTCAGCTCAGTGCTAATGTGGACACGAGAACAAATGGATACAAACTGGCCATGGGGAAATTTAGGCTTGAAATTAGACGAAGGTTTCTAACCGTCAGAGGGGTGAAATTTTGGAACAGCCTTCCGTGGGAAACGGTGGGGACGAAAGACCTCTCTGGCTTCAAGATTAGGCTAGATAAGTTTATGGAGGGAATGGTTTGAGGGGATTACGTGATTCTAATCAATTAGGCAATAACGGCCATCGCTGGTAAAATGAGGGTCTGGCTAGAGAATCTTGCCTGTATGCTCGGGGTTCTGCTGATCGCCATATTTGGGGTCGGGAAGGAATTTTCCTCCAGGGTAGATTGGCAGTGGCCCTGGAGGTTTTTCGCCTTCCTCCGCAGCATAGGGCAGGGGTCGCAAGCTGGAAGATTCTCTGCGACTTGAAGTCTTTAGATCACGATCTGGAGACTTCAACAGCAGAGTTAAGGGAAAGTGGGGGGGTCAGCTTTTGTGGCCTGCATCATGCGGGGGGTCAGACTAGATGACCATATTGGTCCCTTCTGACCTTAAAGTCTGAGTCTATGAGTCTATGAACTGCAAAGAGGAGCTAGCCAGACACTCCAGCCAGTAGGAACAGAAGCAGCCAAAGCAGGGACCTTTTTAACCTCTGAACATTCCAGTCAAACCTGTAGAAAGTTCTGACTCTGCCCTGTGCTGATAAGTTGTTTGCTCCAATCCTCCCCGTCTCTCCTCAGTCTCTTCACCTCAGATTCACTCCACACCTGTCCTTACACTCTTCTGCCCCATCCCCCTCACCTCCCTTCTCTTTCCATTTAGCTGATCCCCTCCTAAGTAACTCCTCCCACGAAAAAAAATGTGGAAGTACTGTATTGTTGGTTGTCCACAGAAATGGCATAATTGAAGGAGAAAACAGACCTCTAGTGGAGAAGGCCTGCAAGGTCATGGGACTCCCCTCAGAGCTGTCAGCAGCAAGGGAGTAGGGGTGGGTGCTGGGAGTGAGTTAGGGCTGTGGGTTTGCTGAGAGGATTTATTGGTGGGGCAGGATGGGACACTAAGAATCCCTCAGTGCCAACTGGCAAAGAATTCCCTGTTTTGTAACAGGAACTCCTTTCAGGCCTGAATGTGACACTTTATACCTTGGGGGAACCCCCATATTCATCATTTGTTCACAAATCTAGTTCTTTTCTTTAAAACAGAACAAGACAAAATCACAAAATGGGACAGAAAAATATAGCAAAGACGGATGCAACTTCTGCCGCTGGTGCTCTCCTTCACTTCCAGCCTTTCTGCTGGGAAGTTACAGGCCTGGCTCATGGTTTTATTAGCCACTCCAAGATCTGACAAATGTTCACCAGCACCAGGGAGTTTAAAGCATTGCTTTTAGCTCCCTTTCTGGTCCTATGCTTACAGCAGTATTGCAAAGGGTGGAGTCAGCTTGGTGCCTAAGCCTATTGCTTATTAGACAGCTGCTCAAAAGATAAAGTCAGTACCTAGGAGAAATAAGGTGAGGGGAAAAAATGATACACAAGGGAGGAGATGAGAGCAGGAACCTCAGGCACATGCCTTAGGTGTTGTTCAGGAGTTAATCTGTGGAGGGGGTGATGCCATCTGATTCCCTCTCTATGGCCTGCTCAGGACGTCTTTCCAGATCAGGGCAACACAGACCCATTGGCATCATGGTGGATGCTGGGGTCCCTCCCAGGAGACAATCTGCTAGGGACAGTAGCAGCCATGATGACGAAGTTCACTCCCAGTCTGCCCGCCCCACTGGCTCTTTAAGTGACCCCCGCATAAGCACTGTCTAGCTGGGGGTGGCAGCCTCAGCCTATTAAAATTAACCAGGCAAAACACATTTGGGGGTTTCCAGCTATAAGCATTTCCAGAATCCATCCCACCTCAATGTCTAGGAGCTTTCAGCATACCAGTTTTTCCTCTCGCTTTTAACAACATTTCTATCTAACAGGCTCAGAAGGATGTTTATTGCCTTGTACAGTTTAGGGTACAGGTCTCCACACAGCAATGAGCTCATTGTATATCTTTACAGCATGTAATGTTTCTGCGGGTTTGTGCCGTCATTTGGTCAGATCACAGAAGTGCTCAAACTGGAAACCTTCTATGAAAGGCAGTGGCAGTGGCGTCACTTTTCTGACCAGTTCCCCAGACTGGTCGTTAAGGACGGTGTTGGGCGGGAGCTGCCATAATTTGAATTAGTCCTGATCATGTACGTCCATTAGCGATCCCAGGGTATTTTTCTGCAAGCAGGGGTGTTAAACCCAATAGCCTGGCTAAACTGAACTGGGGTAATTGGATTCTGCATCCCTTGCCATTTCCATTGGCTACTGTATTATTTTTCACCTCCTGACTTCAGCTGTTCTGTGGTGCCATTAAACAGCTATTGCCTCTCCCCCCAGCAGGAGTAGCAGTGGGTGTTGTTACTTCAGATTCCTTCTTGCTTATCTCCCATACTCCTTGCATCTGTGAACAGACATTTCAATACATTAACTCATGTTAAATTCTTATTGTTTCAGAATAGCTCTGACTTTTCTCCTGTACTCTTCCTGGAAGCACCAGTCCTACAGTTCAAGTTAGGTGAATGCTCCCCTCCTCCAGCTCTCCTGTGTCTGGCAACTGCTGCTTATGTCTGTGCAATGTGTAAGGGCAGGTCTACAGTGCCGCTTAAGTCGAAAAAGACACCCCCCCCGCCCAAGCGAACCAAGTTACAGCGACCTAAGCGCTGTCTGCACCGGCGCTGTGTCAGCAGGAGACACTCTCCCACCGACATAGCTTCCACCTCTTGCGGATGTGGAGTAATTCTGCTGCTGGGACAGTGCTCTCCCGTCGGCATAGAGCGTCTTCATCAGACACGCTACAGCGGCACAGCTGTGCCGATGCAGCGCTTCTAGCATAGACCTGCCCTAAGGAATGAGTGAGAGATTTCTGGTGAGTCCCTGGACAGGAATATTTGATCAATGTGTTGGCTTTCAAATGTCCTAGGACTAAAAACAGGCATTCCAACTGGTCACCTTTCTAATCAGTTTTCTTTTCTTTTTTAGGTCCACCTGCTGAGCCACTGGAGCCCACCAGACCTTTACCAACTCTTCCTGTGCGCAGGATTCATTCCCCTTCGGAAAGGAAACATGAAAGACAGCCAAGACCCCCCAGGCCACCTTTAGGTGATAGGCCATCAACTCCAGGCATGAAACCCAACATCTGTGATGGCAACTTTAACACTGTGGCTCTGTTTAGAGGAGAAATGTTTGTTTTCAAGGTACTAAATCTGTCTTATCAATGATGTTTTCTTTAAGCTTTATATCCTGGAAAAGAATAATACGTGTAAATAATTACACGTTATCAGCTATTTTACGGTATCACTTTGCTCTACTGAAAACAGTTCTATTATGTGTAACTGACATAATCAATGAGCATGAGAATTTTGAAAGGAAAGTTTTAGCAGATTCGAAAATACTTTACTAACACTTGGCATGGTGCCTAAGTAGAAGGGCATAAATGAAAGAGTGTTCTTTGTGATGTTCATAATCTTGCTTTGCCTTCAGAATTACCTGCATCCTTGACAAAAAATAAACCAGGTTCTGTTTAATGTTTTTAAAGCAAAAATATCAGATAGCAGACTCTTCTAAACAGCCATGCAACCTACAGTTGAGAAGCACCCTTCTTTCACTAATTCATTGTTCAATGGCATTCTTCCTACATAGCAGATGTAATCATAAAGCTATATTAACAAATCTGTATCTAGAATACATCAGCATTTTGATGATATCTTACTTTACTTCTACTTAGCTCTTTTCATCAGTAGAACTGAAAGTACTTTACAAAGGAGGTCAGTTTCATTATACCCCGTTTTATACGTGGGGAAACAGGCATAGAGAAGCTCCATGACTTGCCCAAGGTCAGCCGGCAGACCAGTGGCAGAGCCAGGAATACAACACAGATCTTCTGAGTCCCAGTCCAGTACTGTATTGACTAGACCACATTGCCTCCCTGAGCACATTACCTAGCACTGCTCTGAGAAGGCTGGAGGGACTGATAAAGCAGGGAAGGGGCCTCTCTAAAAACACTGCAATTTTTTGTCTAGAGTGGGTATATAACCTGCTGGTTTCTGTGGGCGTAAGCATATTCTGAGAACAGCGAACAGATCAGACCTGGCAGGGGAGACATGGGGGAGAATGCCTAGTTTGAGGATCCTGATGAGGCCTAGATGTGAGTCAGCCACCAAGAAGCTCAATAGTGTCAGTACTTAAGTGGGGAAATGCATGTCCACTGCTGCAAATTTAGGCACCATGGGGACTTTACCAGCAGGAATTCAGGGCTAGGCAGTGGTTTGGGGGATCTAAATTTTGGATATAGGTGCTTAAAATGGCAACTAGTAGCGTACTCTCCTTTGTGGATCTAGCTCTTAGAGTTGGGTTAGATCCTAAAGCTCAAATATCTGTTATGGAGGTGCCAGTCTCAGCGTCATTGTTAAGGTTGAGTTCCTTTTTATACTTAAAGAAAGGATTCAGCCTTTTTATTTATATGAAAAATATGGCAAGTCCTCTGGGAGAAGAGAATGAATTTTCTGAGAATGTACAAGTATTATACATCCATTAATTATTAGATGTTATTAGTTAAATTGGAGAAGATGGGATTAATATGAGAATTAAAAGGTGGATAAGGAACTGGTTAAAGGGGAGACTACAACGGGTCATGCTGAAAGGTGAACTGTCAGGCTGGAGGGAGGTCACTAATGGAATTCCTCAGGGATCAGTCTTGGGACCAATCTTATTTAACATTTTTAGTACTAACTGTGGCACAAACAGTGTGAGTGTGCATCTGAAGAAGTGAGGTTCTTACCCACGAAAGCTTATGCTCCCAATACTTCTGTTAGTCTTAAAGGTGCCACAGGACCCTCTGTTGCTTTTTAATAAAATTTGTGGATGTCATAAAGTTGGGAGGTATTGCCAGTATGGAGGAGGATCAGAATATCATACAAGAAGATCAGGAGGACCTTGAAAACTGGAGTAATAGAAATGGTATGGTTTCAGAGTGGTAGCCGTGTTAGTCTGTATCAGCAAAAACAACGAGGAGTCCTTGTGGCACCTTAGAGACTAACAAATTTATTTGGGCATAAGCTTTCGTGGGCTAAAACCCACTTCATGAGATGGGTGGAAAATACAGTAGGCAGGTATAAATATACAGCATATGAAAAGATGGGAGTTGCCTTACCAAGTGGGGGGTCAGTGCTAAGGAGCCAATTCAGTTAAGGTGGAAGTGGGCTATTCTCAACAGTTGACAAGAAGGGAGGAAAAATCACTTTTGTAGTGCTAACGAGTTCAGTGTAATCAAGGTGACCCATTTCAAACAGTTGACAAGAAGGTGTGAGTATCAGCAGAGGGAAAATTAGTTTTTGTAGTGACCCATCCACTCCCAGTCTTTATTCAGGCCTGACATCAAATTAGGTCACTACAAAAATTAATTTTCCCCCTGCTGATACTCACACCTTCTTGTCAGCTGTTTGAAATGGGCCACCTTGATTACACTGAACTCGTTAGCACTACAAAAGTGATTTTTCCTCCCTTCTTGTCAACTGTTGAGAATAGCCCACTTCCACCCAATGAACCACCCAAATTAGGAGAACACATTCCCCCCAAGACATTTGTAACCACCTGTAGTAACACATCATAAAGTAACACACACACACACACATTAAAGGATAGTAATGATTAGTACCAGTCCCTAACCTGTTATAATGCTAAGAGAAAGCATCTTCCTATAAACTTAGCCAAATCTGGTTGGAATGCAGTCATTGCTCAAGATCAGTGCGACTACACAGAGCTCAAGTTCGTCATTATGGCATCTGGGGGCATTTCATGCTCTAATTAGTGGTTGAATGCAGGGTATAAAAGTTCAGACACTCCAAGAGCCCTTTTTCTGTTCCTAGGATCGTTGGTTTTGGCGTCTGCGCAACAACCGAGTGCAGGAGGGGTATCCCATGCAGATTGAACAGTTCTGGAAAGGCCTTCCTGCAAAGATTGATGCTGCCTATGAGAGATCTGATGGGAAATTCGTTTTCTTTAAAGGTAGAGTATGTTTACAATACAATTTTGCATCACTGTTCTAATCACTCTTTCCGCGGCGAGCTTTGAGAAATGGGATTTTTGCTTGTCTGTTGTAGCATTGTATTGGTTGGAACTGTATCTCATGTTGGAACCATTTGTGGAAATCCACAAAGAAAGGTAACTGAACTCCTCACAAATCCTCACTTCTGATTACTCAGAGCCAGATGTTAAAAGGTATTTGGGCGCTTAAAGATGCAGCTAGGTGTCTAGTAGGATTTTCACAAGCACTGTGGCCTAGATCCATAAAGGCACTTGGGGCCCTTACTGCCGCTGTAGGCACCAGGTCCTCAAAACCCTGCTCAGCTGCGGCCTAACCCTGTCGGTGTCTAAATCCTCAGAGGTGCCTAAGTCTCTGCTAGTGGGAATATGCAAAATTACCTAAGTCCTGATGCTCCTGAGTTGCTTGGTGCCCTAGCTTATGCCTAAGCCCTAGTGGGATTCTCAAAATAGGCATTCCCCTAGCTGCCTTTTGTACAGAGCATGATCCAGTAGGCAGAAGTCGTAGGGGGCTAGTGGAGAGGTGGGTGTGTTCAGTATCCCCCAAACCCCAGTGGCTACAGCATTCCCATGGGAGGTGGGAGACCCGGGTTTGTATCCCCACTCTACCTGAGTTGGAACAGGGATTTGAACCCACAGCTCTTACATGAAAGGCTAGTGCATCCATTGGGGGGCTTCTCTCAATCTCTTGTTGAAGCCGTCGCACTTTGTATAAAGATTTATTGGCATGGGGACTTGAACCCACTGTCACGTGACCCTCCCACAGGTATGTGAGTGCTCTGAGCGCGAGGCTATGGAGTCAGTCTCTCACTTGCCCAGTGAATATTTCATTAGTTATATAAAGTGGAACAGCTTCAACAGGACTGCTTGAGAGAGACCCCCGCAAGACACTCTACGCTGAGGGGTAGAGCACCTGGCCTTAAATGTGGGAGCCCGAGGTTCAAATCAGGCAGAGCAGCAGTTTGGACCTGGGACTCCCACATTCTGGGAGTGTGCTCTAGTTATTGGCTATAAGGGTGTGGGGTTGTCTGTCTCTCACAGCTGCTAGGACACAGGCTACCTAAATGGCTGACCTGGCTTAAGATGGCTGAGAATCCTGACCAGAGAGAGGTGCCTAACTACCTTTGAGGGTATCATGGCTTCACAGGGTCTGGTCTATGCCCCAGCCTGTAGCCAGTCCCTTGGGAGTGACCCCTTTGGTGTGCTGGTCCACACAGTTCCACAGGCCAGGCCCGTGGCCTCCAAAATTGGGCCTTCAGGTGCCAGAAATCTCTGTGGCCTCCTGCAGTGAGTCCAGCCAAGCCAGACACTGTGGGAGGCTTGTTCTTACCCTTTGCAACCCCAGGCAGCCTTGTCAAACAAGATAACAATTGTTAGTGTCCTGGCCTACAGAATCTGAAAGTCATTAGGTTACCACAGAGAAGCAAAGGTTAAGACAGAGATCAGACTGGCCAACACCAGGGCCCTTGGGCCGTGCTACCATAGGAACCAATTTTCCTTCCTCTCTCTGGGCTTTTCTATACTTAAAACACCACAGCAGCATAGCTGCACCGCTGCAGCACTTCACTTTTGGCACTACTTACACCGAAGGGAGGGGGTCTCCTGTCAGCGTAGACAATCCACCTCCCCAAGAGCCAATAGTTAGGAATTCTTCCATCGACCTTAGCACTGGCCACACAGGGACTTAGGCTGGCTTAACTCTGCTGCTCAGAGGTGTGGATTTTTCACACCCCTGACCGACATGTTCCAGTGTAGACCAAAGGTCTGACTCTGTCCCTCCCTTTGTCTGTCAGTCCCAGGAGCAAGCCCTTGTGTCTGTGTCTGTGTGAGCTCACAGAGCCTGACACCTTTCCCCTTTGTTCTTCAGCTAGGGGGCCTTTGCTCTGCTTCCTGGCAGAGAAGTGGGGGGAAATCTCCTCCTCTTGGCTGTTGGTCACTAGGTGTGAATGCCCTGGCCATTAAGTCTCCATTGTCTTGGCGGGATCCTCCATTCACATGCATAGAGTCTGTTCAGTTTGTTAATGACTCAGGCGGTTAGGAGTCAAACATTCGGTCCCTTCCCTTTATGGTCAGTACACTGAAGTGCAAAGCCTAGAGGAAAACCGAGGTACACGCAGGAATCATAAAAATACCATCAAAATTCCCACATTGGTCACAGATGGGCAGGGCTTAGGCCTCGCCCCTCTCTACAGCATGTCCCACCGCTCAGCATGCTGGCTTCTGTGAATCTCTTTCTTAGGCCCCTAACTTCCCCATACAATGCCTGTGGTCCGGGGTGCCTAGGACTTAGTCCTCTTTGTGGATCTAACCCCATGGCGCTAACTCCCACTGAAGTCATAAAATCAATGGAATTGGGCAATTAAGCACTTTTTAAAATCCAAGGAGGCACCTATCTGTATCTTTAGGCAACTACCTCCCTTTAAAAATCTGGCCTTACCCACTTCACTCCTGATCTCAGGGAAATGAGGGGAGGATTTGGCAAAGAGGTGACCATCTCTAGATGGAAAGTGATTGCTGAATAGAATTCATTGTAAAACCAAACATACAGCAGTGCCACCAGTACAGTAGACAGGCTTCACCATGTTTTATGCCTGTGTAGTCTGGCGTGGATCTCGTCGTAAATGGCAAATAAAGTGATTCTGGACGGCATGCAGCAGGGACAGGTGGGAGCCACATAATTGATGATTGTACAGAGTCCGAGGAACATGAGATTGGCAAGTCTATTCAATCACATCTTGCTCACTGCAATATTCCATTATAAATGTAATTTTGACACATCCTTACAAGCTCTTTTTAGCCTGAAGATAGAGGAGAATGTCTTTGAATTCTTGAGGCAAACCTGACTATCCACTTATAAATTATTGGACTTCGAAAAAGACTCGTGTTTCTCACTTGTCAAAAATTGTTCCCACAATCCCTTTTTCATTCAAAAGTCAAAAACAGATTTTTTTCTATAAAACTCAAGTTTTACCAACTGGGCCTTAGTGAGAATTTTAACATATGGACCCCTCTTGTGAATAATGGCTTATAGCTTTTAAAGTTACTCAGAGTCATATTCCTTACTGTTTTGAGTGCCAGCAGGTGCCCTGCAGAGATTACAGTGACTCTAAGAAACCTTAAATCTACTTTAAATTCTACCTAATCTAAGTCTTCACTTAAAAAAAAAAATCACCAGCAATTTTTCTCATGAAGATTCTCCACAATGTAAACCAATGACTAGGATTGTTTGTCAGTACAGTCGGTCAAACTGTTTATAGTGAATCATTTATCCAACCCATTTATTCCCACAAATGTTCTGTGAACAAACAGAATTTTTAGGACTCTCTATTTGTAAATGTTTGTCAAATCATATGTGTGTATTAATCACAGTTTATGGACTGTCCATTAATGGAGCCACTACACTTATTTGTTATCCCTATATATTACATATGATTGGTCACCCAAGTCACATGGTATTGTTTCTGTTTCCTAACTGGATGACTGAGGCTTTGTAAAGGAGAGTTTATAAAGGAATCTTTGGTTCTCAACAGGAAAGGAAGGGGAGGGAGCAGGAGATGAATAGACCTAAGGAATTCTAGGACATTTAATTTTTTCCTGTCCCATTCTGCACAACCAAGAGCTTATATTTGGCTCCTTATGTGGACCCCAGATGTAAAAATAATTGGCTTCCTTCCTAACTGGGGGAAACAAGAAAGAAATCTTGCGGCCTTTTCTATAGCACTCATTGCTGTCGTATCTGAGCCTGACAAATATTAATGCGTTATCTTTGCAGCAACCCTATTATATAGGGAGGGCTTCACAGACCGGGAACTGAGGCACTGGGAGATTATGGCCAAAATTTTCAAGAGTCTCCAGTAATTTTAGATGCTCCAGTTATATAATGAGTGAGCAAGCAAGAGAATGATTCTACAGCCTGATGGTTAGAGCACTCCCCAAGAAGTGGGAGACTCACGGTCCAGCCCTCCTGCTCTAAGGTATCTTTATTTAACCCAAAGTGGAACAGCTTCAAGAAGAGAGACTGAGGATAGTGCACATCAGAATATCTCACAGCCCAGTGGTTAGGGCCTGCATCTCAGAGGTAACAGCTGCCTGTTCAAATCCCTTCTCCCCCTCAGATAGAGGGGAAACTTGAACTGAGCGTCTCCCACCTCCTGGGGGAGTTCTCTACCCACTGGCTAAAAGTTACCAGGGAGCTCCTTTCCCACCCTCTGCTCTGAGGCTGGCCCCACAGGTGAGTTAGGTGGAGGAACATCTAGCTTCCCCCACTCTGTGCATCACACTGGAGCTTAGGCCTCCGGGTGCCTAGAGGGAGCCAGCAGTGTGCATATCCAGAGCCAGGAACATAGGTGCCTAGGAGACCTTTACAATAGAAATGTAGGTGCTGAGTGATTTTAGGTGCCTGCTGACTTGGGCAGCGGCAGCTGAGTGGGGATTTTGTAAATACCACTGGAGCCTAAATTTGGGATTGTAGAGGTCTAACGTGGCAGTTAGGTGCCAAAGTCCCTTTGTGAATCTAGCCCTAGCCCTAGCTAACTGACTAGGGTGACCAGACAGCAAATGTGAAAAATTGGGACAGGGAGCGGGGGGGTAATAGGAGCCTATATAAGAAAAAGACCCAAAAATCTGGACTGTCCCTATAAAATCGGGACATCTAGTCACCTTATAACTGACCCCACCGCACATGTGGGGAGGTAGGGCAGGACTTTTTTATGCCATTTTCCCACCCTACCTCACAGGGGTGTTTTGAATATAAATTCATTCATGTTTGTTAGGACTAACACAGAAACAAAGTGACATGCCCAAGGCCATGGAATCTGGCAAAGCTACAGTTCAAATTCAGGGCCTGCAGCCTTCCAGCCCTGAGCTCATCCCTTCCTGCTAGTTGGGCTGAGCCTTCACAGCTCCCATTAACTGCAGCTGCTGTGAACGCTCAGCACTTCAACAACATGTTCAAGTCCTTCTTG